GAAAAGAGGGTAAAAAAGGCAAAAAGCTGGGTAAGTTTATGAAAATTATGAAATTTTGTAGCATTTTTTTTACTGTGTGCTCTGTATTTTGCTGTATTTTACTTTTAATGTCGAGTGGTACAAATGGGGTCACTTTTTTCTAAATGCAGTAAAAAAGATAGGTAGTCGCTTTTGATTTTGAAACACATGAAAAGCTGAGAAAGTAAACTAAAAAGAATATGCATACTATATTATATAGCTTAAAATAGACTAAGTAGTACTGTTTTTATTTTCTATCCTCCTTTTGAAGGGACAATTACTAAAAAAATGAAATCTTTTGAAGAATGCATGCCAAAGTAAAAGAGGCAATGTTGGACCATTGACCAAAAAATTTTGGCCCCTTTCAAAAATCAAAGGAAAGCATTTGCCACATGTATGGACAAAATTGCTTAATAATTAGACAGATATAATATTTTAAGCTCAATTAGTACTTTTATAAATGAATTTCATATTTTACAGAACGAATTAAACACAAATATGACAATTATATGAATTTTTGTTCAAAAAGTATGATCGATTGGCCTCCCTAGTTGTTTGGAGTCACACTCTAGAATTTGTAAATTTCTTGTGTTATTCCTTGGGGTGAGTTGGGTCAATTTTGGTGCATTTTTTTTTTTTTTGGGNAAATTTTTACTTTTAAGATGGAATTATTTTATTTTATTTTTATTTTATAAATTTAATAGTGGTGACCAGTAGAAAATAACCAGCTAAGGGACCCATTCTCTATTGCCATGCACATTGTGTTTCCTCTTTTTGACCTTAGTTCTGTACTTATGGGATTTTTCCTTTGTCTGTTATAGCTACAAACTGCTATTTTTCTCTTTCTTTTTAAATTTATTTTATTATTTTTGTTGGCCCATATGAAAAAAAAGTGCTTATTTAATGCAATACTTTTGTTATATATGCACTTTTCCTATTAAATAATTATTTTCTTGTATCCATTCAATAATAATTCACAGAGAGTGGCCAACTTGTTATTCTCAGAAAGAGAAATATTTCTCCCAAGTTATATGCTTCTACATATTTTATTTAAAAATCATTCAACAACTACATTTTTTCTATGTTCATTGTCTTAATTAAAGAAATGAAAGATATGGTCTATAATCACAATATATGCAATTTTATCATATGATATAATTTTTCATGTATTGTTTTACTTCAAATTTAATCAACAATTATGTTAGTATTCCACATTACATCGATTACAAAGTTTATAAAACTGAATTTAGTGATAAACTATTTAGATAACAACAATATTACTTTCGACGTGTCACATTCTACCGTCCATTATATTTGGAAAACTAAACTGCCTCTCAATAATATTTTTTCCCCAACCCAACTGACTTTATTATGAATCAAGAATTTAGGTATATGTCACAAATCAATTTTTATAATATGGTACACGACAACCAATTTTGAGTAAAATATATCATAAATTAACAATTGTTGGACTTTAATCTTGCTTAAAAAAATGCTGAACAATTCCAGTCATCATTCAATTGAACTGTTAGCAGTTCGTCGGTTTTTCACACTTTATTCTCCCCGTTACTATTATTATTATCGTACTCAATTATTGTTAGGCTTTTGTATTGATCATAACATTTGTTTGAATCTTGATTTTGATCTATAAAATATAATTGTTTTCGTTTCAAGAGTTAATTAAATTTTGACTGAATTATGAGATGCACGAATCCCAGACTATTTACATGCATCGTGGTAGTTTGCTTAGCTGGGAACATTAATCTCTTGCTAATCATATATTGTTATGAACTATATTGTCATATATTTAATTTAGTAATTTTTAATAGAAGTTGAATGATATCCATGTCAAATATCAATAATTGCTGAAATTTCATATTTTTAGGCTTGAAGAAAATCAAGTCACATTCAGCATATGAATGTTAGGTATACGTATAACTAATAAAAAAGGGACAGCAATTAGAGAGGACGAGAATAAATTTTTTGCAATTACTAACT